TATATATAATTATATTTTATTATTATATATTATATTTTATTATATATTATATTTCATATATAAAATTATCTAGTGTAATACAGTATTAAACTTTTTTTTTTATAATTTTAAAACAGTTCATAGAAATAAAAAGCATTATAAATAACTTGTTTCTTGTTAGACAGAAGAATGTTTTTAAAATAACTGATAGTATTTCAAAAGTTGTTTGATTTGAAATATCATCATCAAGTATTCTAAAAATAAATTTTCAGTTGATTAACATGTTAATATATATTTAAGTTAATTTTATTATAAACAATTCAAATAATATAACTATTTACCCTGAGTCCACTTTCTGATTTTATCTCCATTATTGATAAAACTGTTTCATACAAAATTGCATTTCCAACATTTTTACTTGTTTCAGTATTTGTTGCTACCTATAAAAATAAATTGATTCATTACATTGAAAATATGAATAATAAGTATCTTAATTTAAATAATGAATGTTTTCTAAATAACGAAAACATTCATTATTTATAAAAAACAAAGTTTGGCTGAGAAATAAATAACTGCATATTTTCTGGCATGGAGTATACACTTTTTTTTAATGATCCCATTAAATTCACCAAAAGCAATCTCAGAGAGAAATTTATGGTAGAAAATTAATTACAAACATTACAATAAAACACAGTAGTCTTGGCTAAGCTTGTAAAGATTAATAGGGACTCTCTGCCAAAACACAGGGACACCATATGTTTTAAAAGTGAAATTAGTATACTGATTACTTCATTTCTGATCAGTTCAGTCACTTGCTACATCACTGTTTATTAACATGGTTATATGCTTGCAATATGGACAAGCCTATCCCCATTACTAAACTATGGTTGCAATTTTTACAAAAAAATGAACAGAGTTTTTAAAAAGAATAAAAAAAATCCACTTTTATTTGAAAATTCTTTCTTTTCAAATAATGGCCATAATTGTGTGTCAGTTCAAATTAGAACTTAATATTCATATATTCTCCATATAGTAAATTTGCAAATTAATGAACTGCATTTAACAACTTTTTCCAAATTATCTCAATTAAATAACTAAATAGAAGTTTCACCATCATTTTATAAACATTTTCTTTTGTCACATAACAAAAGAACAAAAAACATTAATGTCAAAATTTATTTTAAATCATAAAAATATGGCCTTGTTTAAAAAAAATTAATAATAATGAAGTCAGGCAAAAATGCTAAAAAACTATCTTCTTGCAAAAAAATTGGTTAATTTCTTAAATAATTTTTCATGAAAAACTGTATGACTACCATTGTTGTTATAAGTAAATTTTGCACTCTTTGCATGTCAAATCATTTGTGCTGAAAATAGTCATCTGTGGTGTTAGTGGCAACTTCAATTTTATTTCTAATAATCAACATATCATATCAAGTTTAACTGTATATGCTATCCTATGTTAATGACACATACTTAATTTTTTATTTAAAAGAATGCTTTTATATATTAATTTATCTTTAGGTGTTGGGTGGTAAATTACATGTTAAAGGCCTTTTTAATTATTTGTATGAATTAATTATTACTACAAAGTTTGAAAAATTCAAATTACTAATTTGTTCATAAATTATTGTTTTATTTTGTTTGCAGATTGCAATAATTTTCAGGGAAATTTTTGTTTTGAAAATATTCTGTACAGTATATTAACATTTCTCAGCTGCTATGCACAGTAAGATCAAATTATTTAAAAGAATACAGAATTATTTTCTAATTAATCTGATCTCACTGGTATTCAAGTATTAGATTAAAATTCAAATTAAATATTATGTACAGTACCTAAATAGGAAAATTTTTTAAACAAATTATTATAATATTAAAATAACAATTAATTATTAAATTTAAATGACTATTTTGTCATTAACCAAAGCAACTGAACAAATTAAAGATTTCATGTATTACTAGAATTGTGAGGAATTAATTTTCTGAAAAATTGAATGTGGTTTNTGTGAATTAAATGGTGAAATGATAGAAATAACTGTCCACCCGAAGCAATCTAAGAAAAATATTTTGGATAAGGCTACACTAGCAACATTCATATCTTCGATTTTAGAAACAGCCATTTAGTTATAAACAAATCGTTTGAAAAGTCTAACAAAATAATAATAACGATGAAGTTATTCTTGTTTAACTCGTTTGACTTTATAAACATACCCTTAGTTTACAAGATATTGTTTTGTTTACAGAACAATGTTCTTGATCAAGCTTCTGTAGACCCCTTTAAACTTTATGATATTGTGAACTAATATAAAACAAGTTCAGCTAGAAATAAATAACAGGAAGACAGGTGATTTTCAGAATGACCAGAAAATCATTATTTTGTAAAATAATACAAAATTTTGGGCATGAAACAAAACCACAAAATCATATAAATTGTTGAAGGTCATATCACCCCAGACTATCTTAAGATGATTCAAGTATTCAAGATCATAGTAATTTGCAAACCAGACATCATTTTCAGTATGGACGTCTCATAATTTCTACAAGAGGAGGCATTGCAAACCACATATCATTACATCATTGAGCTAAGGCTCAATGATGTAATGATATGTGGTTTGCAATGCCTCCTCTTGCAGAAATTTGCCATGCCTCCTCTTGCAGAAATTATGAGACGTCCATACTGAAAATGATGTCTATGTGGAAAATTGACACATGTTGTAATTTGTAAAAGTTCTTAATATTTGAAATTATACGTAATCCCAGAGTGGCAACACTAATGAGGAAAAGTGAGTTGTCATGTGGGAACCCTCCCTTTTTTGTTCATGTGTGTCAGGACCCTATCCACTGGCATCTGCTCTATATATGTAAATCAAGACATTTTGTATGGATATTAAACTATGTTATTTGTGTGTGTATAAGGAGTGCAAGTAAATTTTTTCCTCCAACAAATTACACATATGATCATGTGATAAGAAAAATTTGTACATGATTGCATGCATAAGATGGCAATTTCTGCAGTGGTTTTTTTGGAGGCCTGTGATAAGCAGAGAAAATTTTTTCAACCAAAATTTTTCACAGATAGATGAAAAGCATTTAGCATGAAAATATCATAGAAACACAGATAAGTAATTCACAATTTAGTGATAAATACCTACAAAAGACTACTAGATGCAAAAAATTGTTGCTGCTGCATGTGATCATAGGTTAAAACTACATTTTAAATGTTTATTCTATAATAAATTATTATAATATTTAATGTATCTTTTGTTTTAATAATTTTTAAAAACAAAAATCAATAACCTCCAATTTTAGTGGTTTTATTAATTATTGAAATTATTCTAAAGCTTTACTTTCTAAGTTTACTTTTATCCATTTTAAAGAAAAGTTACAAGTCCATTATTCCACCAAAAGTTTTTTTCTACAAGTCTATTAGGAAAATGAATATTTCTAATTTACTTTTCACTCAATTTTCCTATAAATGCTCATAAAAATAAAAAAAAACGTTCTTATGTTACCATGGTTTTTTTCTGTAAGTAATGATCTTGTGGCAGGAATAAACATTTCCATTAGTTCTGGAACTTATAAACAGTATATGCCACCTCCCAAAATAATGAGTAGATAACATTTGAATATACATAATTATAAAATATTTTATTTATAAAAATTGTTTAACACAACCTGTGTGACTGGATGGCTGAAATAGTTAAGGCATTAGGCTATTGTTCTAGAAATGAAATAAATTTGAGGTTCATCTGGATTCTATCATGGATAGTCTGTTCTTGATATGTCAGGCCTGTATGTACCCACATTGAGTATGAAAAGAAAGGTCCTCTTAGTGCCCACAGGACAAAAAGAAAAGCTGGAGCAGAAAAATTGCATCTATATACAGTAAGGTACTGCACAATTTTTTTAGACAAAAACAAAAAACACTTCATCTTATATGTTAAGTTATAATCTCCTGTAGTCTAATGCAGTGTTCTGCAACCTTTTTCTACTCGTGGCAAACTTAAGACTCAACATGACTCAATACAGCACACCAAAATGTTATTCCCCTCAAAAACGTATGCTATGATACTATTAATAAAATTTCATAGTGCCATAAACCTATTATTATTATTATGTTGAGTTTTGTGAGTTACACTCGGTTGACACTAATGGCTGGCTGTGTACTATGCTGGGCCAGAGTCAAGGCATAGTAAAACAAGACAAAAATTAAGTAAGTGTCAGCATGTGTTTGTATTTCCTAAATTTGACAATTTCCTAACAATATGACATGCATTCAATATAGTGGCCTTTGTAGTGTGATATATGTGTTTCAATTTTAATGTTTCCAGGCTTTTGTGTAGTGTGTGTGGTATGACACCTGTAGAGGAGGTACAATAAGCACCCTATCCATCCTCCAAAGATGCCTTATTTTCTGGGTGAGTTCTGTGTACTTGCTGATTTTTTTCACTGCATGTGTTTTGTACATTGTGAGTGTTTGGAACAGATATGTCTATAATGTATGTGATTTTATTGTGTTTGTCAATGAGTGTGATGTCTGGTCTGTTGTGGTAAATTGTTTTACCACATTATGGCTGTTGTAGTACATTCTGTGCGTTTTGTTTTCCAATACTGTCTGTTGAACGTATTTGTAGTATGGTTCGTGGATGTCTAATAATTTGTGTTTCTTTGTAAGCTCTTGATGTATTTGCTACTTGATTATGTCTATGTAAATTATCTGTCTGTGCCAAGAGCTTGCACCCAGAAGTAATGCGTTGTATAGTTTCTGCCATGATGTGACATTTTCTGCATGCGTCATTTGTGAGTGTTGTATCTTTGAGTATGTGTTTTCTGTAATTTTTAGTATTTATGACCTGATCTTGTATGGCAATCATGAATCCTTCTGTCTTCCCAAAGAGGCATCCCCGATCTAACCAGCTGTTTGATACAGTTTTTTCAACAAAATCCTGGCACTCATGATTGCTTAATGGTGTCTGTGCTATTTATATGTTGTGTCATGTCCATACATTGTGAATGTAAAATTAATGGTGTATTATTTGAATCTGCTAGAGCTAATGCTTTATGTAACTGTGATATTTCTTGTTGTTTTGTAGAAAAACTCTCGCAATGTCTGTATTTGTTTGTAGTGGAGGTTAGCTATGTCGATCAGGCCATGTCCGCCATCTTTACGTGGAAGGGTTAAGCTTTCTATGGCAGATTTAGGATGATGTTGTTTATGCTTAGTTAGTGTTGTTCTTGTTTTCATTTGGAGTTGTTCAAGATCTGTGTGAGTCCAATGTATAACTCCAAAAGAGTATGCAAGTACTGGGACGACATATGTGTTTATTGCTTTAACATTATCTTATTTCATCAGTGAATGAAATACAAGCATAACAAACATGATGACTGCGATAAAAATATATAAATAAAACTTGAAATTAATAGAATATGTAAAAGTTCACGTCACACCTTTCACCTTGTGATGGCACACCAGTTGCAGAACACTGGTCTAATGAATTCCCAAAAGGCCTTCAGCAGACTATAGGTAAAGTCTACTTTGAATAAAAATATTATTATTTAATTAAGCACATTATTTTTTGCTATAGCTACACAGCATGAATTGATGTAGAATATTTTAATGATAAATTTTAATTGTGAATCACCTCTTTTAAACTCCTTTTTCCCTGATAAATAAAAGTGTGCATTCTAATTTTGTTTTTTAACCAGAACATAGTAAGAAAGTTTTAGGGCTAAATGACAAAGGCAAGGGATGACTTAAATACACTAAATACTTTGTCCTAATTATTCTATACTGAAATGTAAATGTATCTTATATCTCATAAAACACAGTTTTTAACTTTAATCAAATACTGAAAGGCTAGGCTTTAATCAAATACAGAGATTGCTAGGGTAATAGACACCAACAATCTGCTACAGAAGGAACATGATGGTCTACTAACTCTTAAGAAAGGATAAAAGGTCCATAGGATTTAGTCAGAATCGCTGAAATAAATAAGATTAAAACAAGATTACTATTCTGGCAATTTGCTTAAATACATAAGGAGCCACCTGAGATCACTAAACTAATGCTTAAAGAACCATGCAAAATAAAAAACAAGCATCCAGCTACTGCTAAAGCAGTATATGCCTCTGTACTCTGTACAGAATTTCTTTTAAAGATAAACCAGAAGCTCTGGATGGATTTAAATGTGGCAATCTTGATTTGACTGACCCAGCTATGACTTAGATCTTAAATCTATAACTTACAAAGTTTCAAACAGCTGGAAATCTACTTATCCTCAAAGATAACTATGAAGTTACAGAATGCCCTTCCAATGCAGGAATGTCATTGTGTTGGGATCTATAGCTGTAATGGATAAATTTAGCTTACAACATTTTTTTACAGTATTCTATTTTTATTTTATTTATATAGTTATTGCATTTTTATGTTTTACTTTTTACTTGTTATAACCCATACAGTATGTTAATTTGTTCTTAGATAGCATTTTGTAATGTTACATTGTTATTACTTTGTATTTAAACCAACCTTCTCTATATTTTAAAATTTTTATACTTTGCTCTATCCATAAATACTGCATGTGCAAATATGATATTCAAAGTTATGAAAGTCATTGAGTAAGTTATGAAGACTGATAAAAACCTTTAAATCATATTGAAAACATTCAATAGTAAAGAATTTATGCAGGAATTTATGATTGTTTGTTTTTCTGTTTAATGTTATCCAGTTTGTGCATTCAATTTTTGCTCCAAATAAATAATGTATGTCAATTTGATATTTACTACTATACTCATCACAGTCAATATTTTAAAGTTTATAATGTTTTCTAAATATCAGAACAAGATGTGCTGCCAGCTGATAAACATCTTTTTGAAGAGTGCTATGCATATGTACACAAATTTACATAAATCAGTACATACACAGTAACCATTTTTGTAAATTTACCTCTAGCATCAAAAAATGTCAAAAGTGGCAAAATATGGAAGCATATTTGCATCTTTGTTACAGATAATAAAAAAAATAAACATTGCTGCTTACATATGTTTGAAATGAAATTTATTAACTTTAAAATTAAGCCTTACTTGTAAAAATGGATCACTAACTCCACAAACATCATGTTCTGGAGAATAACCTGCCATAATGAGGTTTTTCAATATCCGGACTAAGTTTGGGACAATCTCAAAATAAAATAAAAAATACTTTAGACATTTTAAAATTATAAAAAAAAAAAAAAAAATTCTACTTACTCGTTTAAAATGAATTAAAGTATCTGGACTTTTCTCACACATTTCTGTTATCAATATAACACCAGTTATCAACACACCTAGAAAATAAAAGTTTGATACAATTAAACTTTTTATACTATAAATACAAGATAATATAAAATATGATTAATTAAAGTAACAGGCGTTAAATTTGCAGCATTAAAGAATTTTATTTAAAAACAATAAAACCTAAAAACATTAAATTGATGGTTTGTTTTATTCCTCAACTGCCGTTTATCAGAGAGAAAGAACTAAGAAAATTCAGAGCAAAAAAATAATCTTTTTATTTTTCAAAACAAGCCATGCATTTTTGGGTGGTTTTTACAAAAAAGTCCTTTTACACCCCTCTTCAGTAAAACATAGTATATAAAAATATACTATGTTTTATAGTCTAAAGAGGGGTTCTTTCTCGCTGATAAAAGGCAGTTGAGAAGTAAGATACACCAACAATTTTAAGGTTTTATTGTTTTTAAAGATTGTTTCTGCCCCATTGTATATTTTAAATGAAGTTTATTTCTTAAAAGAAAATTAACTTAACTCAAAATTAAATATTCTTGATTTAGGTTATGTTTATGAAGTTAATGCTGGAAAGTATTAGCTATTAGCTTGAAGTAAATATTTAACATTGATAATTATTTACTTCGAATTTACATGAAATAAAAAATTCTCAAACTTAGGGCTATAAAGAAATAAATTTAATGGAAAATGAAACATTGTTTTTATCATTCTTGTAAAATAATTATAAATAAGTGAAAATAAAAAAAATAATCATTAAGAGCAAATATTGTTTTTGCAATATATTTAAAATTAGCATCCACTGAATTTCATTGGATTAGTTACATATGGCAACATGACAGGCAATCTGTCAAGGGGATGCCTCCCAGGAAGACTTTTATGGAAAACCTATTTATGTGATATGAACATGAACATCCAGAAAACTCCACATGGCCAGCCCATTAGCAAGGTACAAATCCATGACAAACTACAGTGTTCAGTAGTTTTATCCACTCAGCCATAAGTGGCCCATTGAATTTCATCATGATTAATTACAATAATATATTTTTAATTTATATATTAACTTGCCATCACATGCAGCTTTTTACAGAACTATATGCATAAGGCAGTGATTTTCCACTGATTTTTCACATGTAATTATGCTGCACATAATTGCAGTTCCTTGAATTTGACAATTCTGAAAAGTCCTGTAATGTGTCTTCTCTGCATGTTCCAAATTTCAATGTCATATGTTATTTAGGGTACATTTGTAAAGTCAAACGAGTTAAATGCATTAGTAATGAATCATTCTAAAAGTAGTAGTCTTGCTCAGTGCGCATGCTCTGCAGTGATGGCATTTCAAACGAAACTAACAAAGTTCATGAAGGAAAGAGTTAGTTCACTTTGTTAAGAAAATGGCGGCTGATGATATTGATGTTTCTAAATTTACTTGAGTGTTTAAACTGTGAATTAAATGGTGAAATGATAGAAATAACTGTCCACCCGAAGCAATCTAAGAAAAATATTTTGGATAAGGCTACACTAGCAACATTCATATCTTCGATTTTAGAAACAGCCATTTAGTTATAAACAAATCGTTTGAAAAGTCTAACAAAATAATAATAACGATGAAGTTATTCTTGTTTAACTCGTTTGACTTTATAAACATACCCTTAGTTTACAAGATATTGTTTTGTTTACAGAACAATGTTCTTGATCAAGCTTCTGTAGACCCCTTTAAACTTTATGATATTGTGAACTAATATAAAACAAGTTCAGCTAGAAATAAATAACAGGAAGACAGGTGATTTTCAGAATGACCAGAAAATCATTATTTTGTAAAATAATACAAAATTTTGGGCATGAAACAAAACCACAAAATCATATAAATTGTTGAAGGTCATATCACCCCAGACTATCTTAAGATGATTCAAGTATTCAAGATCATAGTAATTTGCAAACCAGACATCATTTTCAGTATGGACGTCTCATAATTTCTACAAGAGGAGGCATTGCAAACCACATATCATTACATCATTGAGCTAAGGCTCAATGATGTAATGATATGTGGTTTGCAATGCCTCCTCTTGCAGAAATTTGCCATGCCTCCTCTTGCAGAAATTATGAGACGTCCATACTGAAAATGATGTCTATGTGGAAAATTGACACATGTTGTAATTTGTAAAAGTTCTTAATATTTGAAATTATACGTAATCCCAGAGTGGCAACACTAATGAGGAAAAGTGAGTTGTCATGTGGGAACCCTCCCTTTTTTGTTCATGTGTGTCAGGACCCTATCCACTGGCATCTGCTCTATATATGTAAATCAAGACATTTTGTATGGATATTAAACTATGTTATTTGTGTGTGTATAAGGAGTGCAAGTAAATTTTTTCCTCCAACAAATTACACATATGATCATGTGATAAGAAAAATTTGTACATGATTGCATGCATAAGATGGCAATTTCTGCAGTGGTTTTTTTGGAGGCCTGTGATAAGCAGAGAAAATTTTTTCAACCAAAATTTTTCACAGATAGATGAAAAGCATTTAGCATGAAAATATCATAGAAACACAGATAAGTAATTCACAATTTAGTGATAAATACCTACAAAAGACTACTAGATGCAAAAAATTGTTGCTGCTGCATGTGATCATAGGTTAAAACTACATTTTAAATGTTTATTCTATAATAAATTATTATAATATTTAATGTATCTTTTGTTTTAATAATTTTTAAAAACAAAAATCAATAACCTCCAATTTTAGTGGTTTTATTAATTATTGAAATTATTCTAAAGCTTTACTTTCTAAGTTTACTTTTATCCATTTTAAAGAAAAGTTACAAGTCCATTATTCCACCAAAAGTTTTTTTCTACAAGTCTATTAGGAAAATGAATATTTCTAATTTACTTTTCACTCAATTTTCCTATAAATGCTCATAAAAATAAAAAAAAACGTTCTTATGTTACCATGGTTTTTTTCTGTAAGTAATGATCTTGTGGCAGGAATAAACATTTCCATTAGTTCTGGAACCTTTTTAATGATTCGATAAGCACATAATGCAGCCTAAAAAAATAATAATAAAGTAACTTGTAATATAAAATAAAATGCTATAAAAAGTATTTTTAAATTTATAACAATAAAAAGAATAAGTTATTTTTCAAAATTAAAAGTACTTTGCACAGGAAGATACTAAATACATAAAACATTCATCTTACATATTGTAAATCTGTTTATAATAAAACATATACACCAAATTTTGTTTTTACATGAATTTTTGTATATGATTTTGATTTAACACAATCTAAAAACAATTTAATCTCTTTTTACACAATTTATTTTGATCTAACACATTCCAATAAATTTGCCTTTTTAAAAATTCTACTTGACTTTAATTTTAAGTTAAAATATTCACATTTGCATTTCTAGGAAATTATTCATTAAAATGAGCATGTAGAATAGTTTAATTGCACAAGTAAAAACTACATTAAGATAAGCATAGTGAACTGGTCCAAGACAGGGCAATGGGATGAAAAGTGCCCCAAAAATAGAAATATCATATCAGTAAATGTTTAATTACTCACTAATATTAGACCAAATTTTTCACAAATTTTGAGGATAAATATGAAAAAGTCTTTGTCAAGTCATCAATATATACTATCTAATTTACTGAAAAAAAAAAATTATATATATTGCTACTTTGGAAGAAAACCAGGATAACTCAAAAAAGTGCAATTTTTTGATTATGTCATAATCAAAATGAAAATGTAGTAAATTTTTATGTGGAAGAGTGTCACAAAAGTAACTTGTGTATCTGGCTACTAGGGAGCACTTATGTGGGAGATAAGTGATATTCAGTTAAACTTTGGTTAAACCTTTGCATGGGATTTTCTCAAAACTAGTAATTTTGAGTTGTGCCAGTTTTCTTCCAAAGTAGCATATATATATACAGTAGGACCCCACTTAACACGGGGTATGCATTCCTAAAAACACATTAAACGAGGTAATTTTAACATAGAGTAAATAGGGATAGGGGAACATGCAACTGAAAATTTAAAAAAATTTTATTTTAATTTTAAGTTATTTTTATATTAATTTGTATAATAATCTATGTTAAATAACATAAAAATATGCACACAGAAATGTATATATTAATAGTTCATTTTTTGTGATGAAGGTCCTGAATTTTCTGAAATTCTTTTTTTTGCGATAAAGTTGTGAAGTTTCATTTCTCGCTTTTTTCTTTCCTTAAGCAAATGTCAGTAGCAGAAGATTGCATCCAAAATGTCTCATTTCGCTTTTGCACTCCTTTCAAAATCTGAATCATTTGGTACAATTTGAACAACGATTTTGGTTATTGTTACCAAACTTTTACTAAGGAAATGTGTAGAGAAATTTTTTGGGTTCTTTATTTTCAGGATCACTATTTTCCAGTTCTACATGGATTCCTTGTTTTGCCAATTCTTGAAAGTCATCATTGATAAGACTCTCACCAGAAACCTGTGGAAACTCCTCAATACCCTGTTCGTCTACATCTCCTAGTCCTGTTTTATCGATTAAGTTGAGTTTGATCAAACTAACAATACATCGATAGGCTCTTCTCATTGAGAATTCTTGGATAACTTCAGCCATAACTTCTTCCACAGTTCATTCGTACATTTATCAGTTAATTCTTGCCAAGCAAAGCCAATATTGTCTATGGCATCCATGATGATATATTTTTTCCAAAATTGCACCAAACAAACATAGATTTAAAGAAAGTACACCTTTTTGCCACCTTTTTCCCTTTTTCTGATTGGTTCGTGTTTGTAAATAATCATATTATGTATGAATCAATAAAATGCTGCAATAATTTAAATCAGCATAAATTTTGAGCTTTTTTTAGGCTTCAAGCAGACGGCATTATATCGAATCAGCATTAAGCAGGGTCTTACTATATACATAGTTATAAAGTTTCAAAACAATTTCATTTATTTAGAACATGGCAACAACTTAAAAATTTCTAGGAATCTTTACATTATATTATACTAAAAAAAATTTTTAAATTCATTCACCAAATGCAACAACTTAATTAAAATAAAAATCTGAAAACAACCAATAAAAATTACCCTAAATGATAGCAGTCAAATCACACAAAAAAAAATTACAAAAACAATTTTTCTAACACATTAATTTACAAAAAACTGTAGTCATGTGTTTTTCACTAATTTGTAATTCTCAGTTGCCCACATTCTATATTTACAATAATTCCATATAATATGTTAATTCTTATAATGACTTGGAGTAATTTTTGATCCTAAACTTAAAATCTCTAGCTATTTGCTGTGAAATTCTTTGGCATTTTTGAAAAACTATTTTCTCAAAACAGTCTTAAGTTCCATTTTTTTTGCCAATATTTAGTCTCTACTCGATTATTGTCTGCCAATATGAGCTATGGCTTCCTCTTCCCAATTACAAAAAATATTAAAAGTGTTAGATAAAATATTTCTTATTCTAAATAAACTCTCTAATCTTCCTTTTACCCCCAATGCTAACGTTGGTAGGTTCAGATTGGGAATTCCCAGTTTTACTGAATGTATTAAATACTTTGACCATTTACTTTTATAGAAATACTTCCATGGTTCCATTTGTTCTGATTTGCTGTGTCTAAGAGTTCTGCCACAAGTTACTTGTAAGCAAACTTGTCGTTTTATCCCATATTTTAGGCTTTCCATTTCTTTCAGATCATTTTTCTATCATCTGTTCAGAATAAGGGCTGTGTGAAACAATCTCTACATGAAGATTTTCTACATTTTAAACAAATTTGTATTACTTTATAATATATAATCTTTTGTTTTTATTTATGTACAGTTTTTATAATGTATATTGATTGTTATTCTTTTTTATTTGTATTTTAATCTTTTGTTACTAATGTTGTTTTCTTCGGGGAGAGGATATCAATTGTCTTGTGACATTTCTTCTTGTATATGCAATAAATAAATAAATAAACAATATGATTTCTAAAAATTCAAAAATTTCTAGTTATCTTTAAAAACTTTTGCCCTTTTTAATATATTTTTTTACTTTGCAATTTGATGCCAAGAAATAGTGCAATTTAAAAGTTCAAAAATTACACTTTTGTCCATAATCTCAAAATTTGTGAAAAATTCAATTTTGGGCAGTAAATAATCACTTACTATATCTACTTTTGGGCCAATTTTCATTCATTATTTGCTTACAGTTGATTCACTATGTCATGCTATAACCTTTAAAGATTTGGCTATTTCCTTTTACAATTTATTTCATTGTGTGTAGGGACAACTAGTTTTTCATTTGGACTTTGTTCCACAATTGAAGCAGTGAGAAAAAATGAGTTTTGTGATAATATAGGAATGTAATAAAAATATAGACTAATAATATATAATTCTCACATTAATAAAAATCAATTAACACTCCAAAACCTTTAAACGTCCAGTAGTAATCAATTTAATAATAAACAAACGTTTTCGACCGTACTTTCGGTCTTCATCATGTTTAAAAACCTGATGAAGAACGAAAGTACAGTCGAAAACGTTTGTTTATTATTAAATTGATTACTACTGGACATTTAAAGGTTTTGGAGTGTTAATTTATGTGTTTTCCAGTATTCATGTAAGAAGATTTTAGTTAATAAAAATCAAAAACTAATTGATTTAAAATCAAGAAATCATAGCATGCACTTGATAATATTTTAATTCTGCCCTATTATTAATTTGGTTTTAAATTTATTCAATTCAGAATACATAAATAAAAATTTAATCAAAAATTATCATAATTATAAGATTGTTAACTTTACCTTTTTCCTAATGAAAACATTAGATGATTTTAATAATCTTTCAACTTCTCCTGCCAAATCACGGCTCATTTCGGGAGAACAAATTGCTCCTAAAGTACTAAGAGCAAGACCTACTATGAACTGTGTGGGACTATTTAAATCGCTGGGGAAAAAAATCAAGACCAAATAAAATTTATTACATAATTGTCATGACATTTATATTAATAAAANATTAAGGAAAGAGAGACAGACAGACAACAATAGGAATTTATACGTCTAAAATTTTCTTAAAATTGTAGCCCAATAAATATATAAATATTTATTTCATGGATAACCATAAGTGGATAACTGTGAAACAATAATTTACATATCTGCTTATGGTCCCAAATAGAATGTGTTGAATACAATCAGAAATACTCTATTGCTGAAAAACTGCAAAATTTAGAGTTAGCCACTTATGGTTCTATATTCATGATTTATTTATTAGCACAAAACAAACCATGCACAACTAAAGAAATATTTTCTGACAATATCATTAAAAATTTAAATATGCAATTTGATATTTTCATGTTAAAAGCAAAAAATAATAATTCTATTATTTATATTAATAAAAATTACTTACTATCAATAATAATTAAGTAAATAAATAAATAAATTTCTGCAAGTTTCAGGAAGTAACTACTTTACTAAAATGGCTTCTGAAACTAGCAGAATTTATTTATTTACGATGATCAGTACCTGAAGAAGGCCTATTAAGAAGGCCGAAAACGTTTGTACTTGTGTATAAACTGCTAGAAATAAGTGAGGAAGGTTTTGTATTGATCATTTTAAAATAGTTCTAGCTACAAATGCATAGAAGTGTTATTTATTTACAACAGTGCCAAGTTTTATAACCTTTTATTACTATCAATAATTCAAAAATTAAGAAATAAGTACTGTACATTATTAGAAACTTATTCATCAAATATAAAATACCAACTTTTTAACTACAGATTTACATCACATTTTCATTATAATTTTCATTTATCAATATTAAGAATAACTTAAATCTCTCTTTCTCTATACTGTATTATCATGATCAATAACTGCAATTTATCATCAAAACACTGACAAGTTTCTTGTTTACAGTAGATACTTAAAACAGTTTCCTTCTGACAGATGGTTGATTACATTACACTGAAATATTTCATGATTATTTGATATTCTCAAATTATCATCAAATTTTAATGCCATATTACCTATTGTTAGTGAAATAATAATTTTAAATTTGCATCATTATATACTAGTTTTTCTTCTAAAAACACTTAAAATTTACATCATTATTCTCATCTTTTAAGACTAATATGTATAATGTAACATGCAAATGTTTTAAATATGCATTAATTTTTTCATATGTTTGTATGTATTACTGAAGTATATAAGTTATGTTTGCATGCAATAAAATATTTAAATAAATATTTCATAGGTTATAGATAAAAAAATTACTTAATTTTAATAATGTATTAAATTGAAAAATAATTTTAATAAAATAAGGAAGTTAAAGTGATTTAAAAAGTATTGATGTCAAACTTCATAAAGTCATTTATAAAATTTTGATATCAAAATTTTAGAAATGAGTAATAACTATCAAAAACTGTATTCCATTTTGACTTTCACTTTAAATTTATTCAAAGTCCGCAGTAGTTTATATTTCCTTAACAATTATTTAACAATGTTTTCATGAAGAGCAAAAAATTAATTTTGATTATATCAATTAAATAAAACATAGCATAGCCTCTAAAGAAAGGTTGTCTCTGCAATGGAAATAATTGTTCCTGGTGATTAGACATGGCAAGTAAACTTGGACTCGTATCCAGATGAATTTTATGTTTTATTAAAATGTAATTCTGCCAGCCCATTTCTACAAACAAATATTATATTTTTAATTGTGTTGGGATGTCACCTGTGGACATTTTAAACTGTTTTACATATTCGTGCAGAGGCATAGCCTCTAAAGAAAGGTTGTCTCTGCAATGGAAATAGTTGTTCCTGGTGATTAGACATGGCAAGTAAACTTGGACTCGTATCCAGATGAATTTTATGTTTTATTAAAATTAAATAAAACAGTTTAAAATTTATTTCCATGAGAAATTCAGTCATCATATTAATTATTTTTAAAAAACATTTTTAAATATGTTACTCAGGGAAAAATATTCTGAATTGAAATAACATGACTTCCAGTTTCTATCAGAAGTTCATATATAGTTAATTGAGCTTCCTGCCCCTAAGGTTTCCATATCTGGTCTTGAATTTCATTTATCTAACACTGTTCTTGAGATTAAGGAAAGAGAGACAGACAGACAACAATAGGAATTTATACGTCTAAAATTTTCTTAAAATTGTAGCCCAATAAATATATAAATATTTATTTCATGGATAACCATAAGTGGATAACTGTGAAACAATAATTTACATATCTGCTTATGGTCCCAAATAGAATGTGTTGAATACAATCAGAAATACTCTATTGCTGAAAAACTGCAAAATTTAGAGTTAGCCACTTATGGTTCTATATTCATGATTTATTTATTAGCACAAAACAAACCATGCACAACTAAAGAAATATTTTCTGACAATATCATTAAAAATTTAAATATGCAATTTGATATTTTCATGTTAAAAGCAAAAAATAATAATTCTATTATTTATATTAATAAAAGTTAAATCAACAAACAAAAGCCAAGAATCCAGCAAAAAATTTCCTTTATGCAAACATTTTTGTCCACATCCATTAGACATATCAGGCAGTAAAATTGGAAATGAAGCTGCTTTACTTGAATATGAGGCCATGTTGGATTAGAATATTCAAATAACGCAGCTCCATTTCCAATTCTACAGCGTGAAGATGTCCAATAGAATGTGGACAAAAACATTCATCTATGTGAAACTTTTTGTTGAATTCAAAATGCTAAAAACTTACTTTTTTAAAGAATTTGTTATAAGTAGATGAACATCTTGTCTTTCATCTAACAATAGCATTGCACCTAGATATCCTATTCTTTTATCAGTGAATTTTTGAGATGCTATTAATTTTAAACATTCCATCTATAAAATAAATTTAATTGATACATTATACAAATAGCAATACTTCAATGTATTACAAAATTTGTAATACAGACATTCTGCAATAAAAGAAAGCAACAACATTATTAGTGTAATTTCATGCATATAACCTACAGAAAATTGATAAAATGAAAACATTGGGTGTATTCAAAATCTCAGCATCAATCCAGTGAGATGCTGCCGGAAATGACGCAACTGCTGGCCTTTTTCAAAGAACACAAATGCTGACTGCCAGGAATTTTGAGAGAGAAAAAGAATAAAAATGGCAAATGATGTTGACGTCCACATTACGTTAAATGATTTTTGAACTTCTTTAATTAAAACAGATTAATGAAATATAAAAATTTTGAAAAGAGAAATAGAGATAAAGATATTTTAAATTTCCCTAGGAGTTTTAAATAATTAAATCAATCCTAAGATTACATTTTAACAACTAAAAAAATTATGTGATGTCTTAGGTAAATACACTAGTATATAAAAAAAATTTTCTATTAACATACTAACAGAATATTAATTTATTTGGTGTTTATTCATCAACAAATAAATTAATTTAAAAATTGTCAATGCAAAATAGAGCTTTTAAGAACCTTATGGTGGTTGCCATCTTGTTTGCTAGCTTATCTATCACCAAAAAACACACTTACAGTTTGCTGGAAGCACAATGGCAGCAACTGGAAGCAATCTGAGGTTTTGAACAGAGGTGCTGAGAGGCACTGGCTGCATGCTGAGATTTTGAATATGCTGATTGCCTAACAAGCACCTTTGAAGTTTCCACTGAAAACATATTATTGATACTTAACTTGTATGCAATTTAGAAGGTATCTAGCTTAAAACTTTCCTTTTTTCCTCTATTTCTTTGTTTTATTTCAATTAGTAATTCATTTTAGACATAATTATAAAATAAATAAAATCAAAAAATCAAAATATTTGACATAGAACTGCCTAACCTATATTAAGTATCAAAACTGTTAATAATAAAATTAATTACACTTATTCCACCAAACATAAACTTCTTTATAAGGTAAAGACCTGACAGACTGTAGTCACCCTACAAAATGCTGAAATTCATTCATTCAATTACTGTTTAGAAAATGTTATGCAAAAATTTACTTTACTGTTGTCTTCTAACTTGAAAATTATTTAATATTTTAAATTGTATATGAACATTAATTAATATAAAATGAATTTCTATACTGTAGAGTTTAAAAAAAAAAATAAAGAAAATAAATTAAAATGTAATGGCATCACCTTTAGTTTCAATTTTGTTAGCAAAGCAATGCTACTGTATGTAAAGAAAAGCTAAAAAGGTATCATTTTAAATGTACATAATTATTTTATTTGTCATAATTTCACTTTATAATGACAAAAAAGTAATACCCTACTATCATTTTGAATATTCAGCTGTATCATCATCAAAAAGACTGACTGGCCATTCATCAAAAATCATTTTAAAAAGTTCCTCTTTTATTATTATATATTTATAATCTGCCAAACAAATACTAAAATAAAATCAAATATAGATTTTAACATTGATCATATCTGTAGTATACCCAATGCTGGAAAGTTATCTGGGAGAGAACTAGAGGTGAGAGATATATATACATTGTTTTTGAAAAAGTCATGATGGCAGATGAACATGTATGGCATAAAGAATTTTTCACTATTCTTTTAAAGACTGTCTTAATAAATTTAGACAAAGGAATACTGTTGGGTGAACTTGTAATTGCAATTTAAAATCTGCATTCACTTTCAAATTGACTTTAAAACAGTTAACTAAAAAATTATTTGCAAGAAATTATAGTAACAAGAAATTATAACAAGTTTTTGATTCAGAAATAAAATGGTATCTAAAAATTACAACATTGATTATACTAAAATTGGTATATAAATAAATCAAGCAACTGCTACAGTATATTTGAGATAACATGGCTATCAGTTAATCAGTAATGAAGAAATGCATTTTCAATGATTCTGCTTGGAGACACTAAGAAGAACAGAGAACATACCAGAAAGGAAAAAGTGTGAAGCAAGGATACAGACATTGAGAAAGCCCTCAATCAATGATCTCCATTGTAATTGGATGAAATGTGCATATCAATGGTCCAATGCTGAAAACTACGAGAAGTTAGCAATCACAAAGATTTAAAAACAAAAGGTTAGTTATCTGAATAGAAATTTAGGAGTGACAATAAATTCAAGAAAAGCACATGTTGAAAATGACAATACTTATGCTTTAAGTGCTAAACAATTGGATATAAACTAAATTGCCTAACTTGTTTCATAAATTTTGTGCAAATGACACCTACAATGCTGATAAAAACAAGTGTTATATTGTGCAGTGTCAGATGGTTCCAAGCTACAAACATGCATACAAACTGTTGTTGGATTAAAGAAAGCAAAACATTGAGGATTGTGTTATACTGTTCAAGCATTCCTGAAAGTAATAAATAGATTTTGATTATTGGAAAAAAAATACTAAGCCTTGATATTTTAGGGAAATGAAAATGGATAGTTTATTCTGTATATTAAAAAGAATGAGAAAACAATTTTTGAAATTTAAGAAATGACTAATGAGGTAAGGAGATATATGAAACTTCAACACAAGTCAAAAAGTTCTGTTGCTTTTTGTCAACTGTAGAGCACATTCTCATTAGATTGTTTATAAAAACAATCATCATTCATCTGTAATTTATTTTTTCTAACATATCCTTAGTGCAGTCAATGGGATGGAAATCTTAATTTAACATTTATCACAAAAAAATTGGTAAACTACATCTTTGAAGCAACTGAAATTTGATAAAAATATTAAATTAAAATAATTTTCAGTATAATTTTTTTTCTGGTCTGTACCATTTGCTCCAGAATTCATTTAAGTATTTTTTTTTCTCATAAATAGTACTTTGTTTCTCTCTCTTTTTTTATACATAAAAATATTTTTAATATTTTACATGAACTTTGCATTAATAGTGCAGCCACTTAATTGGGTCAAAATGTGCTAGTCCTGATGTGTCCCAATTAATCAAAATCCATTGTATTTCAATAGTAAATTGCCTAAACTGCCTGTTAATAAAATTTTGACAACTTATTAACAATATACTAACTTAAACCAGTATTTTAATATTTATATTATCTACTTAAAATACTCATTTCTGAAAATATATAATACAGAGAATTTTCTAATATATCAATTAAAAAACTTGCTTTTACTAATTGTTATATCCTCAAAATTATACTTTATGTATTTTATAAAATAACAACTGCAAAGTATTCCAAAACAAAAAATATTTATTTTAACGAAATAATTAGCAAATATAAATTTAAAATGTTTTATATCAAAATTCATTCTTCTCTAAACTTTGTCTAGAGACTAGTAATTTAAATACCTATTTCAAAAAGTGCACGCACATACATACACATCATTTTCTTTTCAATATTCATATTTAGTGATAAAAGTCTGATAAAATATCAAGTGTAATCTTTCCTTATAAAATGTGAAGCCAAATTTGTAACTAAAAACATCTTGCAGACATCTCTAGGAAGTAAAAATTACATAAAAATTAGAAAAAAAAATGCAATTTATAAAATATTTGTTTTCAGAAAGTGCAGAAATATCTAAATGAAATATTTTTAGGAATTTATTATTAGTTTTTTTTTATATGTTTATAATGAAGGTGCTGTAATTAAATTAATTGGAAAATAACATTTAAGTGTTTTTGCAATTTAAGTTTTCATTAATATTTTAATTGTTACTAATTCTGTATTTTCTAAAACATACTCACTTGTCCAAAATGAGCAGGATATCCTAGCATATGAATATATAAAAGTTTCGCTACGTTCCGACATCGCCAGTTATTATCTTCTTCTCTAAAAGTTGAACGAATATATGCACACTCCTTTTGAACAACAGAACGTTCATCTGCAGCTGTACGAGCTCCTCGAATCTGTCGAATAAGATCTCTCAAGCGCATTGACGTAGGCATTGTGGATGAAAGCCTAAAAGAAATATTTTTCAGATATGAAAAGTAAAACATTTATAGCTTAAAAATTTTGCATAATATTGATATTATAAAGCTTAAAAATTATATGTATATGTTACCAGCAAAGTTTAAAGCAATAACCAATCTAAGTTTGCCTGGGCAATGTCTAAATATACAAATGTCTAAATGTAAAATTTAAATATACTTAAATTTTATACTTTATTTGAATTATCATCAGAAATCTATATTTGCCAAATACATGTCAGGCAAACTCAAATTCTGTTTGATTCATATTTTATTTTAGTTTCAATTAAATTATTTGACTAAGTTTTAAAACTGCAATATTTGAAATTCAGTATAAAAAATTATGAAAAATAATAGGAAAAAAGTAATATTTGTTGCAGCAAGAGCTAAAATGAGGACATTCTGAGTAATTTGCTCATTTATAACAGCATGAATTATTTGTACATATCTTTTTTGCAGTTCTTAATTCCCAAAAAACTTTCTTACTACTAATTTAGAAACATCACCAAATGATCACACCTAACGTCTATCTCTAGTAGCAAATTACTTAGTATTAATCATTAAATTAGCAGAGTTATAGCCTGATTATTTAGGCGACTGTTTAGTGATGTTTCTATATACATATTGGGTTTTGTGATGCTTGATATACTTACTACTAATTTGTCTCAGTGATAATTCTATCTTTAAAATGTCATCAATTTTTAAGACTGTAAAGAGAAATTTTTTAAACCTAATTCTGCAAATACAAAGTGCTTAAGATTGCTTTATTCATTTTATAAAAACTTATCAGTTATCTCAAATTACCAAACCAAGCACATTTCTTAATTCTTTGCCTCTATCAAGGCTTAGAATAGGCACAGTAATTGATTTTCCTATTTCAACTGAGTTTCAAATAAAAAAACTATCATTTATGCATTTATGTTTGCACTTTGTCCTTCAAAAGGTTTTCTAGTTTTCTACTTATTAAAAGGCTCTTAAGAATCTTGATTTTTCAGACAGTATTTGGCAGGCTCAGCTGTTAAGATTTTTCTTTCAACTTAGACTATATTATAAAATGCATAAGAATAATAATTTGCAGGTTAAAACTGAAGTTATGTCTATTTGATTAGTCTGAGTTTGGATGACATGCATTTAGCAGATCTAGGTTTTCATGGTAACATTTCAAGCAAAGTGAAAATTAAATCAAAATATCAAACATTAATGTCCAACAAATATTAAAAGCAGTCTTTCATATTTGTCAAAAACCTGGACACACAAGTTCATTTTGTCATCGTAAAGGTAAGCCAAGTGTAAAATTTTCTACTGTTGAGAATGTAAAATAAAGTAAGTGTGATATTCCATTTTACCACAAACTGCCAAAATACTCACATTGTAAAACCAATTTTTGTTCCAGTCTGGACTGACAATAAAACTTTTTATTAAGTGAAGTTGTAATGTTCAATATGACTTCACTTATTACAACTTCACTTGATAAAAATTTGCATAAATCACATTGAATATAAAACAATTTTTATTTTTTATTATTTTACAGTTTTTTAATAGAAATTTGATAGACACTGGATTTAGTTTATTGGAAAAACTAGTTATAACTTAGATTTTAGGAACTATTCAGTAAAATGTACAAAGATCTTATTAAGAACTTATAATGGACACTCTTTTAATGCATTAGGCTATATTCAAGATATTTTTTCATTTTAGATGGAAGAAAAATTGCTCTCATGAAAAGGGATTGGTTGAATCAATTTAACTTATCACAAAGTCTTCATAATAATGTAACTAATTGTTATGTTATAAGAACAGCTCAACTTGATTCCAATAGTGGCTCTGCATCTTCAATACTACCTAAAACACACAATAATGACTATCACATAATGCGATTTCATTCATCCATTTTCTGATCTGAAATCGGTCACTGTACACATGTTAAAATACATTTACACTTAAAGAGGTTGCCCATCCTATATTTTTTAAGGCAAAATCAGTTTCATTTGCACTTAAAAAAAAATTAGAAAGAATTACAAAGATTACATGATGATAATATCATTTCTCCAATTTCACATAGTGATTAGGCAACCCCACCATTAAAGCCATAGAAAAAAAGTTCCAGAATTTCAGATTTGGCTCAGAATAAAGTCAAAAAAGATGTTATAATGATACTAGTTCCTGTATCGGACATCTCTGGGAAGGCCACAATGTCTAGTGTTTCTGTCTTCAACATTCCTGTAGTTTGGAGATTACAGAGAACACATGAAAAGCTATACTATTACAGCTTCAAAAATATAGCATCCTTCCATTGAGGGTGGAAGGAATTGGAATGTTTTACAACTGTTAAGTGCTGACAGGGATAGCCTCATCTTCCCAAGAAAGAGTATAACAATAGTCAGTTACATAATGTCATTTGAAACTACAATTATTGTCATTCTAACAGTCCTAACAAATGAATGTAATTTCTAAGTTTGTTTTAAATAAATAAGAGTGGATATAGTAGGCCTTTCCGCATCAGGAAAAAAAAATTCATAAACTTGAAAGCATAATGGAATATACTGGTTTACAAACTTGCTACTATTTAAACAGAAAGAATTAAGAAATTTCAAGAGTCAAATTACATTAAGTAAAATAAAAGTAATAATAATCAGGTAATTCATATGTAAAAATTTATTAATAAGCAAAAGAAACATTAATAAATGATGTATTTGTTATAGTTATCTAAAAAAAATTAGAATCATATTGACACAAATCTTAAATTTCTTTATGAATAGTCAACCTTAATCATCATTAAAAATAAATAAAGGAGGAAATAAAAATAAAAAAAATTAATATCATTCTATTCATACTAATATGATTTCAGAATATGTGACACTATTAAATATATTTCATTCAAAATTAAATTGTATCTAAACTTTGAATATTTATATATTAATTATTACATTAATTGATAAAACATGAAAAAATCAGAGAGACTATCCATTGGATTGACATGATATTTAATTTTTTGTTTTGCTATTAGCTAAGTTTTTCTTCTATACATTTATGTCTCAGGGAGTGAAGAGGAAAATGTTTTTGTCAATTGCCCTGAAAGAACACAAAGTAGGCCAAGAATGAAGAGTTCTTGTAAAGATAATGAGGTTGTGAAATTGTTGCAAGAACAAAATTTTGTTGTGCAGTATCCATAAGTGTTTGGTTGTTATTGCATTTGCATATCTCATTTAACAGTAAAGTTGTGGAGTTTATAAGCTAATTAGAACATCCCACAGAATGGATCAAAAAAGTGGATGGAGGGAGGGAGCACTTGTTGATTTTGAGTCAAAGATGGGTTCTGTTGAGTCTACGGGAAAGTGTTTTCTCTTCTGATAATACTTGTAAAAAATTGTGTGATTTGAAACAAGAGAAACAGATATTGATAATCAAAGAAGGATCAATAATGTAGTTATACATGGATTGGAGAAAATGACAGAGAAATAAACATTGGATACTTTGGAAATACTGTAGGTAGAAATTTTTCTACAAATTGAATTTTCCATTATTGAAATATAAATATGTTAAACATGTTGGCAAAAAATTTAGAGATATGCCAGTTTGATTCTCTTAATGATAAATTTTGATAAAATAATCATTAATGGAGTGAAATATGGATTTGATGAGGAAACTGATAAAATTATCCCTATTCTACATAGCAATCATTGATCCAGTCTATCTCTATTACGGCATGGAATTGTGCAGGCACCAGAAATAAACTGAATTTTTTTTGGAAATATCTATCAAAATTTGATGTAATTTTTTTGTCTGAAACATATTCTTCTGGCAGTAATAAAAGAAATCTGCTGTAATAATACAATTAATTGATCATAATTGTATACTCTGCAGTCCATTCAGGGATTGTAATAGATTTAAGGCTGGATAGTTGTTGTTTATTAGTGTGTGTTTGATTTTTAGCATTATTTATATAAATAGATTTCTAGTTTTAATTAACATTACATTACCCTTGGGAGAACTTTTGGTGTATTTTATGCAGGAACAAAGCTGGCAATTTTCAGTTTCAGCTAAGTTTTATTTTGAAGAATATTCTAATTTGATTATTTCAGGTGATTTGAATGTTTGCAAGTGATGAAAATGTTATTTCTGCATATATTTGTGATACTTTTTGTATTGATTTTGATAGGAGTTGTAGGTCATCTAAAGATGTCAAAAATAGAGATTGAAAACTGCTTGAATACTGTGTTGATAAAAATTTAGTAATTTTAAATGGAAGAATGTTAAAAGATAAGGAGTGATTATACATTGTATCTAATTGGGAGACACTAAGAACATCAACTAAAAGCAAATGCATCATCAAGCATACAAACTGGATTGTCGGAAACTTGTGGTTCTATTTTGAACTTGAGTCTGAGAATTCCATTTAAAATGAATGAAAAAGTTGCTTTTCAAGTGAGAGGCACTTTTGCTGGTTTTTAGGTTATTGAGTTAGGTGTTCTTAGTGTGATATTAACCAGTATTTAGCAGTTGTCCTGTGCTAATTTGAGTGGTTCAGTTATTGATTTTGGTTTGATATCTTCATGTGTTTAGGGCTGTGTTAAGACATTCTTTGTTGATGATAATTTTCTATCTAATCATTGCCCCTTGCTTTTGTATTTGGATGATACACTACAAATCAGGGTAAATAATATCAGTATAGCTTATGAGAGAAGTTTTTGAAACAATAAATTGATAAATTGTTTTTTGTGCAACCACGAAAATCTGATAAAAAAGATTGCATGTTTCTTTGTTGTAATGTTGAGACTGCAAAATGTTATAAAATAAATTTTAAATGTAAAGATCATATTAATATTAATAAATGGGTTTGATTTGAATTGTCATTTATTGATTAGAGCCAGAAGTAGAGCTTGGTTAGTTTTTTAAAAAAGTAGCTCTGAATTTCATTGTAGAATATTTGTTGTGTATCATAATTTAGTTAAGAAAATTTGTTTAACTAAGAAGAAAAGTTCATAAATATAC